CACCCTCCTCTCTCTCTGAGGAGGCGGGGGGTAGGCAGGGGAAGAATGAGGAAATTTGAGAAATAAATACGTTTTCTGACAAGGAGTAGGGGAACAGTAGGCTTATAGAACGGGAATTCCTTCAACAAATGAAATTCTTAGTTTAGCGTTTGTATTTTTGAGGAAGGAAAGGATGCTGTCGAGCTGTGTGCTGGCATCTCTTTTTGAAACAGCGCGTTAGGTTACGGGTCATGTGTCTGTGACCGAGTTCTGCAAGTTTCCCTTTGGCAAGGAGTGGGTGGTTCGTATTGGTGCTATTTATCTGAATCTTCATAGTAGGCAGTGTGGAAGGATAGTGGTTTTTTGGAGCTGTGATTTTCACCTTGTGCTTGTAGGTGGCATCTTGCTTGAGAGACCCTCTAGTGTGGCTCATGCAGAGACAGAAGGTAAAAAGCTTGAGACTAACCAAACCAGCTTATCATCTCCTGAAAAGTCTTATTTCTTTAACGTTGTTACCCATGGGATAACAAAAATCAGAGATCCGTGCTTTAGAATCTAATAAAAGCATGGTTTTTGTTTCAGGAGGTGCGGAGTCATTATTAAAGATGGAAAAGAAGTAGGAGAGAATATTTTAAGAACCACTTTTGAGGGAAAGAAGAAACTCAATAGCCCAGAAAATGACAGTTACTGCAAACTTGGGGAATGGCAGGAGTAAATGAGAGGAAGAGAGATGGGGGAGTCTGTCTGTAGGTGATACTAGTGTTATGTAGAAATTAAGAAGATATTATTAATTAATAATTGTCCTAACTGGAGATAGAAAGGAAGGGCAGATGTGAGTATTTTATGGAAGGGAAAGGCCAGGCTTGTGACACTTGATTTTGGAAGTCATATAGGACTACTGTCTTATTGGATACAAGTTTTGGAAGCACGAGAGTTTGCTTAGGGTAAAATGATCTACAGACTCAACCTCAGTATCTTTTATTTAGATAAATGTGCCTAGCCTGTGGTTTAGGCACAGGTGTAGCATTGAAAGCATGCAAATATCAATGTTCACATTTCTACCTATAGATGGTGATCTACTGCTGTCATAGATTTATATTGTTAAAGTAACTATTTTTTTCCCATTGGTGGTGGTATTGCATCATACCTTTCTGTGAATAGTAAATAAATATGGATTTAGTTTGAGCAGAATAAGCTAAAAGTGTCTTACATGTTGCTTTTCTGTTACTAAAAGAGCAGTTCAGTACTGCTGCTGTGTGAGGGTGGTTTTTTTTGTTGCTTTTTTTTTTGGCAGTGGCACGTATATTAAACTCACTTAAATCGAATGATGCCTCTTCTGCAAGGAAAGTCTTTGGCAGTTGTACCCAGGCTCATCCACTCTTTTGTAATTACTAAAACAGCAGTTCAGTACTGCTGCTGTGAGGGTTTTTTTTTTTGTTGCTTTTTTTTTTGGCAGTGGCACGTATATTAAACTCACTTAAATCGAATGATGCCTCTTCTGCAAGGAAAGTCTTTGGCAGTTGTACCCAGGCTCATCCACTCTTTTGTAATGTATCTGTTGCTGACTGCGGAGGGAATAGTGCTGCTGCTGCTGATTTGGCAGAAGTACAGCCTTTGGATTTACTGCTGTCTCTCACTCTCAAGACTGGAGTAGTTTCTTCTTCAAATATTTTCTAACTTGGACTCAAATATTTTTGATTCTCTGGGTCAAAGTTTGCATATTCTATAGTTAGTGGTTTTTTGCATAGGGCAGCATCATTACTTTCCTGTTTCTCGATTTCTGAGTTTGATGGACGTGGCCTTTAATTTGACAGATCTAGCAACGTTTCTTATTGTTACTGGATCCTTAGTATGGTCAGGCAAGCTTGATAGGAGCTCAGTCCTCCTGCCTTTTTGGGTAGGAGGATGGAGAAGATCTCTTGAGCCTGGTAGGTTTCATCTGGTGTATGCTCTAGGGAGAGGTCGCTGATGGGATAGTGTGCTTATGCTTGGGAAGGGAGAGGCAGAATTTCAGGCACCTTTTTGAATATTGGGGAGACTGAAGTAAGATTCACATCAGGGATTTTTCATCATCAATGCCAGATGTTTGCATTTCTAGGTCAGCAGTATGCATTTTTTGAGTACGTACTGGCTCATGACGGATGGTATTCCTGTGGAATTAGTTAGAACAGATGATACAGAATTTATGATGGGCTCTGTGCTTTTATAATAGCTACAGGAGAGCAGACAATGCCTGCTGCAGCATAAGGCCTGCCAGTACATAGGTTAACTTTTAAATCATTTTTGAGTATGTTTAAACCAACCGAGAGGTGTATACCAGATCTACACTTTGCATAATTTGGCCATGGTGTTCTTAAATCAAGAAAACAAGTGGCATTAACTTAATACTGGGACACGTACTTTTCCAAACTGTGTTCTTGTTAACGATAATTTTTTTCCTAGTGAGTTATTAATCTAGGAATTTTTATAGACTCACTTGAAGAGGTTTTTCTTGTTCAGTGGCAAATACTAGTTTGTGAGCTATTTAACATCCATGGTTGGCATGAGTATTTTGACTACCACTACAATCTTCTCTACTGGTCTTTTGTAGAACCTTCTTCTGTCACTTACAGGTAAAACGTACTACAAGTTTGCATAACAAATTGTGTGGAGCTTATTAAGGTGATGCTTAAGCGTGTGTACCTGTATGTACAGCATAGTGTTGATCTGGTATCTGAATTCTCCTAAGTGGTTTGAAATATTTTACCCTTCTTCTCGCTGTTGTTTTTATGCATTTTTGTCAGATGCTTTATGCATTTTGTCAGATGCCTTTTCGGCTTCTAGTTCAGAAGGGGAAGAAATTGGTTCTGAGCAGCTTTTGGCTTCATGGTTAAGAAATTCTCCGGTACTGAAAACCTCTCCTGATTGCAGCGTGCTTCCAGACGCAAAATAGTACAGAATGCTGCTGGAGGGGCTGGGGGGAGAAAACCGGGGCTATCAGTAATGCCATTAAATGCCTAAGGAACAAAAACATGGACAGTGTTGTAGCAATGTTTATGGTGTTTTTTCAGGTACCTTTTGGCTTGTTACAAAGACCAGCTATGGAGAAATGGAGCTTAATGACAATTACTGTTTTACTAGCGCTTACTGTACGCTGGACTGTATCGCTTGGTTCTTATTCAGGTAATACATGTTCACGGTCTGTAAAACAACCACATGAAGGTGAATTATGGAACTTGTGATAGATTAAAATAAACTTGCATGTAAAATCATAAATAGGAAGCAATTTTCAAGTATTGTCGTATTTTAGTGCCTCTCTATTTCCATAACGTTCATATAATACCTTGTTCTTGTTTTTCTGAAGTGTGCAATGATTAACGTCACAGCAACTTGGAGCAAAAAGCTGAAAAAAACCCACCACAACTTTTTTTTGGGGGGATGGGGCGGGGCAATGGTTGGTAATGTTTTAGGCAGAACCAAAGAACAGCTGGCTGCTCACCCCTATGCCTTTGTTGTTTCAGTAGCTGCAGAATATTATTGCAGTCCAATTGTATATTTGTTTAATCTTGTCCTTTAAATTCTGTAACAGATATAGCCTTAGTTTGTGTTTAGATAAAACTGTACTGGTCATAACGAAGACAGTGTAAAGGTGATGTGGAGTGAGCGATTCCACTCTGCCTTGTCACTGTACTTCCTTAAGATTGTTTACAGCGTGAACTAGAGCTATAATCTTTTAATAGATTAGTATTTTTCCTCCCCATCTCATAATGCTTGCAAAGAGCTAGCAAGTTTTTTTCCAAACCTCTCAGTGCCATTCCTACACTTAGCATAAGTCTGCACAAAGCTTTTTTTTTTTTTTAAAATGAACCATTACTTTCAGTCCCCATCAGCTAAAAGAATCACGAGCTCAGTCAAATTCAACTCTGGTTTTCTTTTAAAGTAATTTGGAGCCTCACCCCCTGAGTAGTCGGAGCTGTTCAGTAGTGTTCTAGTGATTTTTAAACTGGTAACTCCTGGGTTTCATTTTCTTGAAGGAATTTGCTTGAAGATAAGTTGCATGCATACCTTCTTGCACAGTTGTTTTGAGTTTGCTTTCTGAAAGTGTCGTTAAGAGAGATCTGTTCTGTAGGTAATGGAGGCTCTCTTTACCCATCTATAAGCAGAAAAACAAACACCCTGTCTTTTGCCACACAATACTGAATTTCTGTTGCACTGCGAGTATTTACCATTACATTGCTAACTAGATTTTTTTTTTAAGTTGATTTGATTAAAAATCTTGATTAGTTTGAAAAGAGTCTGAAAATAATGCCTGAACTAAAATACCAAATTTTTAATCTTGTTGCCTACATGATGATCGTATAACTTTTGGAATACGAAAAGCTGAGTCTGATCCAGTCCAGCAAATTATTAAAGCACGTGCTTGACTTTGAGCATTGGCTGGCTGAAAAAAAAGACAAACTTGAATGTTAGAAAGAGCTGTCAAGTGCATAAGCACACTGGAATTTTAATGGGCAGGGTAACTTTTAAACTGATGTGGTCCTGTTGTTTTGCTTTCACTGCTGCCTAATGCAATAAAGTTGAGCAAAGGATTAGAAATAGCCGTCGTTCTCTGAAGCCGACGCTGGTAGAAATGCTGATTCGGCATGCTCTGAAATCACACGTGCCATGGACGGCCAGAAGCGAGGAGGTTAATTCTGCCCTCATTTACTGTATAGTCTTGGATCACTGTATCGTTTCCATTCTGTTGTTGGTTGTAGCATGCTTTTCGATCTGCCTCTGGAATTAGGGTCGTGATAGTGAGAAAACAGGTAACCGATACCTGGTTTTGAAAGGTTGCCATTTACGATAACCTTAGATTAGTTGGTCTTGGAGAATTATTGAGGAAAAATCTGACCTCATAGATTGATGCATAATTTTCTAAATGCATTGCCAAACTCCTGCTAAAATGAGTGGGAGCTAAGTACCTGTATTGAAAGGTGACTTCAGACCCTTAAAAATGTCGGTTTCCAGGTAACAACAAAACTGAATAAGACCAGTCTAAATTGAAAGTATTTATGACCCTTTTAAAATAAAATACTCCATTTTTATTAATTCTGAATTCTATTTGGCTGTATACTTGGTACTTGCTGTAGACCGAAGCTAAATACGCATTCTCAAACTAATTAATGCGTGATCAGTCTCTGTATTTGGCTTCTAGTAATCAAACATTTGAATTAAGATTCTTTTGATCATTCTGAAGCCAATTTGTTTATTTTCATCTTTTTTTTCAGAGGGGGAGAAGCTGAAATAAAATGTGTATGTTTATATATGTATGTATGTGTGTATGTACACACAAGCTCACACGCACAAAAATTTGGGTAACACCTGTTCTTGTATTTCAGTAACCCTATGACAGGTTCTTTGTTCCACTAGATTTATAGCTACAGAATGGACACTGATAAAACTCCTGTTCTCCAGTGACCTCACTTATTTGGGAAACTTTTAGTTGAATGTGTCGTGTAGTGGAGATAATCTACTCCTCTGACTACCCAGGAATAAATTAGCGGAGATAATATGTTCTCTCCACTACCCAGGAATAAATAGTACATATCTGAGCTTGTGTGACTCCCACAGACATAGATCATGTGAAAAAATATAGATGGCTTTCCTATATTTTAAAGAAACTCTTAAATCACTGTCTGGCTCGTGTCAATATTTTACTGGAAGTACTATCAGTCCAGTTTCTGTTCTCAATAAGCACAGGTTAATAGAAGTAAATAAACTCTGTGATAAAGATGCTTAACATGCTGCTATTATCAGAGTTAGGCTTACGTTTAGGGAATTGCTTGTGAGTAGACATCTGAAGTATTTGCATTGATAAAGCTTTTTGCTGTGGAAAAAACCCCGTATCTTAGTTTCCTGAAAGACTTAGGTATGCGTGTGTGAAAAGTGTTCTTTAACGTAATTCACTTTGCAGAACTGCTGTGTAACAATCACTCAGTTGAAAGATGTATGAGAGAGAATTTCTGCGCACCAAAATGGAGCAGTTATTATTTAGAAAGCTTTCTAGATGATAAAAAATTTTTTTCTAAACCTGTTTTGTGTACTGAAGAGCCTGATCTAGTAAATGGCTCATCTTAACTCTTTATTAAGAATCATGGGGGAAGGGACAGATGCAGTATTCTTGCGAGTGTTGCAAAGCGGGCAGCAGAGGAAAGGAAGAGGAACTGGGAGACTTGCAGCAGGTCCTAGTTCTACGTAAATTTAAAAATAAGGCTAGTTGTTACTTTTAATAGCAAGGTACTGCAACATGGCTGAAACACAAATGAGAACATTGTCAATTATTATATACTAAGGAAGCATAGCAGTTCACACAAAATCCGTATGAGGTGTCCATTATGTACATTTTCTTATTTCGGAGAAAGTGCCACATTTTTCATCTATACTTGGAAATGATTTTTTTTTTTGTCAGATGAGGAAGCAATTCTTCACAGTGGAATATCTTGATAAATGCTTATCGCAGAAATATCCAGAAAGCCAAAAGAATGCATAACTTTTTTTTTTCCTTCCCCGTTAGACTGCATAGCAGATGAGATCTCTATTCTGTTCTCAAATATCATAGAGGAATGGAGAATAAAATTAGTAAGATATGAATATGCAAATACATATCTGGAGGAAAAGCAATCTGCATAAACCAAGTAAGTTCCTAAATACTCTGTCATCTTTTTTTAGGTGCAGGAAAACCACCTATGTATGGAGACTATGAAGCTCAGAGACACTGGCAAGAAGTTACTTACAATTTGCCCATCAGGCAGTGGTACGTAGTGCTACCGTACTTCAAGTTACAAAGGGG